GCCTGGCCTCTGAGGCGACTCAGAACAACACTGCAGGGTCACACCAGCTCGAGTCATCTCGGGCCTGCGAAGAGACTGCATCACAGCTTGACTACGCCTCTGCAGCTAAGTTGTCCTATGACTAAATCCTTGCCAATGATCTAACGTGCAAATATCACGTGCCACTTTGGGGAGGGCCCTCTCACAGGCAGAGAGCACCCCACTTCAATCCTTCCTTTTTCCTTCTGGCTGGAGTGCAAATACGATGCTGGCCCTTGAGTAGCATCTTGGGCAGCAAGGTGGAAGCCATGTACTGAAGACGGTGGAGCCACGAGCTAATGGGAACCCTGCTCCCTGATACTGTGGAGCTCCCATGCCAGCCCTGGGCTGCCCACCTCTAGGCTTCTACACAAGTGAGAAATGAACTCCTGCCTTTTATGAGCCACTCTTTTTTGTCGTTGCTATTTGCAACTGAAATAAATTCCAACTGATATCTTCACAACAAATAGTGTCAGCACCGACCAGTCCTGGGATGAGCAAGAGGCCCAAACAGTAAAACTGTGCACTCATCTAGTGAAACGGATATAAGAGGACGATTTTGCAAAGAGCCTGAGGGTCCTGTGAAATGAGCATTCGGTTTCCGCGTAGAATAAAACTTGTGCTTCTACAAAAATCCTTGGTCAGGGGAGAGTAATCAGATCCCAGGAACTCTGAGGTTGGTTTCACATCATAAAATGTTTCACAGGTCTAATGCTGCTGGTCTTAGAACTAAGAAGCACTGGTCACGGGACTTCTGCTTGGGGTATCCTGCAGTGGGAAGGAGCTTGGCCTTAGAGCAAGGCACACCTGGGCTGGAACTGCAGCTCTGCCAGGTACTGCCTGTGTGGCCTTAGACAAGTCACCTGACTTCGCTGAGCCTCGGTCTCTTGCTATGGTGTCTTCTTCACAAGGGCGAATGAAATCACGTGCAGGAGAGAGGCTACCACTGGGCACGGGGCAGAGCAGGTGGGCAGAAAGTGCCAGTTACTGTAGAGGGTCCTTACCTGCGGTCATTCCTGCACCTCTTCTTTTTTGCTAAGAGACCCTGATTTTCTTCAGCCCTCAGGTGACCTTGTGCTGTAGAGGAAGTGGCGCCCTTCCCAACCTCTGGAGGTGAATCTCGATTAGGCTAAGCTAGGCTTGGTCATTCCACTCCCTTTGCTAATAATTGGAGTAGGAATATGACGCTATTCTGGCCAATGAGAGTCAGGGGAAGTCAGTTGGAGAGAGAGGCCTCTGAGAAAGTTTTCATAGACACAAGGGAGGAATATTTTCGTTTTTGTCTTGTTGCATAGAGGTGTGATGCTCGGAGCAGTGGCAGCCATCTTGAGATCATGAGGGAACAAACCCAAAAGTCAATAGGCTGGATCCTCGAAGATATGAAGATGTTAATGAGCTGCTGAACTAAGTAACACACGAGGCACCCTTTCACCAGACTCCTTGTTACGTGTGGCAGACACTGTTGACTGTCCGCTAGTGTCCATTCTTCCTATCATCCACTTACCAATAGAACATATTGAGTTTTAGTTGGACATTTGGCCCCCTAGGTGCAGACTACACTTCCCAGCATCCTGAGTGTGGCCATGTGACTAAGTCTAGGCAACGGGTTATGAGCAGAAGTAAGGTGTGCAACTTCTGGGTTATCTCCTTAAAGACAGTGCCCAAGGCTGGAGCCCTCTGGAAGCCCCATCTCGGGGCCGGCAGAGTGGTCCCATGGGTCTTGGAGCACTCATCTTGGGGCTGGGATGTGAGAGAGAAACAATCTTCTACCTTATTTAAGTGGCTCTATTTTGGAGTCTTTACAGCAGCTTTCTCGGAGAATTAGCCAATATATTATCTGGGATAATAATGCGCTCGCTGTTTTAAGACCTGAGTTGTTTCTAGCAGCCAGAGGCCTCCTCTATGCTTCCTCTCCTCGGAAGTTGGCAGGAACTGGGGCTGGGTTCTGGTTTTTGTGGGTGGTGGACTATGACTGCAAGGAACGTGTTCCTTTTTGGGGTGCTCCTCTCCCCCCCAAGCAGGCTCACCCACCACCATGGTAACTTCCTGTTGCTGTCCCCTGCCCAAGGAGAAGATGCTTCTTCCCCCTGCTCCCCAGGCAGCCCAGATCACACCTGAATCCATGGGCAGTTGTCAGGTCCCGAAGCCGTGTCTAGTCCTGACCCCTGGCCTCAGAGCGGAATTCCCAGCATGCCTTGCACTGGCTGGCCCACGTTCGGACAAGCAGATTTAGGAACAAGTGAACCATGAAACCTGACTTCCAAGAACATAGCCCTAAGTTACTCACTCATCCTGGGTCTCTGCAGGCACTCAGAATATTTAAATATTAAATATTCCAATTTAATATTTAAACAAGGAGTTGAATATTGATATAGCAGCAAGAGGAATTATCCCCCTACCCCAGAGCTACTGAGAAAGACGCTTTCCTGCTCACCTGTGCTTGGCCAGCAGGAAGGATCACGAAATAATCGACAGTACTCCTGCCTCAGGCCCCTGCTGGGCCATCTCTCCAGCAGAGAGATGGGTCCTCTTCTTTTTCCCCAGTTCCCAAACACGTCTGAAAGCACACAGCCGGAAACCAACCTCAGAGTTCCTGGGATCTGATTACTCTCCCCAGAGCAGGCTTCCATGGGAGCCTGCCCCTCCCTTATTTCCGAGAACTCCAGTTCCAGCCCCTACTCCAAGGAGGGGCAGCCTGAGGCTGCCAGGCCTCAGGATGGGACAGAACAAAGCACAGGGTCTCTCTGGAATCAGGCTCGGGCTGAGGGGTCCCCGGGAGGACTCTGGGCTCTGGTCTATGGTCGTTGCTTAGGGAGGTAAAGAGGCGTCCTCTCCAGCTCCCCCAGCCAGTCTTCTTCCTGCCCTGAGCTCAGGCCTCAGGTTCAAATCCCAGTACTGCCGCCTACTTGCCGAGCCTCAATCTCCCCATGTAGAAAGTGCAGGTGTGTTGCAATAATGCGCCCTATGCCAGGTGTCGTACTGGCTCATTTATCGTTACCGCCACACCAGGAGGTGGGTACCATTCATCTCTTCTTTGCAAAAGAGGCACAGGCCCAGCTCTGGCTAGGGCATGGAGGCCAGGAGGCGAAGAAAGGGCATCTTTGGGCTCCCCTGCCCTGGGCATTGGGAACGGTTCTTCCTAACCCAGAGGAGGTGCAAGGACACAGCACTGGGGTGGGTGGAGGCTGGGGTCGGGGCAGCAGAGGTCACCTTCCTGCATTATGGCCTGAAGATGAGTCAGCCTTTCTCTCTAGGCCACACCCATCCTCTCAGCCTCTTTTCTCCAGGAGCTGACGTTATTTCTGGCCAGCTGGATCCTGACTGGTTTACAGCTGCAGTGAGAGGCTGGCTCAGCAAGGTACAGCCTCCTCCCTCCACCATCCAAGCTGATGGCTGGAGGGTTCTTGCTGGACTGTGGAAGAGGAAAAATCAACCCCAAACCTCTGTGCCCCATGCCCACTTTCTCAGAGACAGGGATGCCAGGAAAATCTGAGCTTTCCTCCATTCCCGGCCCTGCCTGGCGTGAGGTGAGAGTCTGGGGCCACGGCTGCCTCCTGGACCGCTTTCCAGGACCGGGTCCTCTAAGAAGGCAGGTCTGCAGACATCTGGGCAGCCTGCACTGCTGCAGAGCTGGCTGCAGCTGCTCTGGCCTGGCCTGGCTTGACAGAGTTACAAGGTGTCAGAGTAGCCAGGGAACCAAGGATCTGATGCTCCCTGGGGAGCAGGGGTCCAGAACTGGTGCCTCTGGGCCCTCAGCTCTGCATGGACTGACAGGAACTTCTAGGGGCCCCAGCAAAACTACACGGATGACTCCCTACCGGGAGCCGCCGCCCAACCCCAGGAAGGACCCTGAGAGGGACTCGACATGGCTCTGCTCTTCAAGATGTTTGGGAGGACAGGCTAAGAAGCCAGCAGTCATAGAGGATGGCTGGGAGCTTGGGGCTGGAGGAGGGGCAATCGGGGAAGGCTCCCTAGAGGACGGTGGCCCTACAGGAAGGAGCAGGAGGAGTCTGTTGGTGCAGATGGTTGGGAAGGGCATCGCAAGCAACGGCAAAGGCATGGAGTATCAACAATGGGCATTAGGGTGAGGAGGGGAGTCAAGGAGATGCAGCTCAGTGTGGATGGACAGCAACACTGAGGACTGGAGAGGGAGATGGGGCCAGGTCACGGAGGGCGTTGAATGCTGGGCCCAGCAGTTAGGCTTTTTCCCTAGGCAACAGGGAGCCATAGAAGAGTTTAGGGTGAGGGAGTGACATGTGTCTGTTTCATCTCTGTATGCTGACACATAGTAGACACTCACTATACCATAGCCAAATGACTAATTAAACAATGCTTGACCCCCAGAGGTCATCTCACTTGCTTAAGTATATATAGTTATATCTGTATCTATC